TCAATAGTATGTTTGCCTCCAAGCCTAGAAATGTATTAATGTTGGGCAATGCCAGCAAGACATTTTGGTTAGGGTATGACAGTTTGAAAAAAGCTTTAGTATTGGTTTACAGCATGGATATTCTTTACAATACGCACCATGTCTTTAATAGAGCTGCAACAATTAGTGGACTAATCGATCAAGAGAAAGATAACTATCATAACTATTTTGATCATTGATTATCCATGAGAGTTTTCATGCAAAAATTGAATAAAATGCTGTGTTAAACATCAAATCTGAAGATGTTGTGCTTTCCTACATTTAAGGTGTTTAAAGATTTCGTAACTTGTTTGGACGAGTAAAGACTGACATGATGAAATGAATCCTTTTTTGAAGCTCTATTTTTCACCCTGATAATTGCAGGGCTGTCCGAGTTCCAGCTAACAGCAGATGTTGCACATAAGTACAATTGCACAATATAGCAGCTGCACTTCACTAAAAATTGCGTGACTAAACAAAAAGAATGTAAAAAAAAAAAATCACACTTAAGAACAAAAGCTATAGAAATGATCCTTTAGTATGATATGTCTGTGAATTATATATTCAGACCAATAATTATACTATGTTAGCTTTAAGTTTTGTATTTTAAATATGTTTTTCTTGTTGGATAATGAAGCGTCGACTGATGTCATTTGAACAGACTGCTGAGATAACAGCTCTTCAAAGTAAATGCTGAGAAGACCAAAATTGGAGTAGAAGAGATTTCCTCACTTCTGTTTTAGTCATCTAACCTCTGCAAGCATGCATCATTCTTCAGATGTCTGTCTAAAATATATGTGAATCAACTGACACTGTAGTAGACTAGACAACGTGTTGGCTTTCACAAAAGGATACTACTTCTACTACCAAACACAAATGCAAACAGATACCAACCATGACCCAGAATCAGTAAACCTCAACTCTACCATAGGAACAGATCAGGAACTGCGTAATTGACACATTTACATACACAGAAGATAGAGACCCAAGGTGCTCACTGTCATAATAGCATGTAAAACGATGTCTTTAGAAATGTAGAGGGATTGCGCCTAACAGGAGAGGGAAATGAGGGACCAATTACTGAAAATGGCCATGCCGTTTTTTTTCATACATCTTATAAATATACATCATCTTGTCAGAGTAGAGTAGCCGAGCGCAGATTCAGCGAAGCAGCAAGTCTACATCAATGACTCAGTGGGTGTTTCACAATGTCGAAGACGCTTCCTTGGTAGGACATGTCTTCCGAAAACGAAGAATTGTGGAACAGGCTAACAGGTGTGCGTCATATGCGAGGCCCCGCCTTAAATGGAGCACGATTTCCGCCAAAGATTTGGAAATTGGTCCGTGCGCAAAGCATTGTGGGGCTTTTAAGACGGCGGAGTCTACACATGTGCAGCCTCGAAATTTCCCGCAACGAAGTACGCCGGCCTCGGTAGAATTCCAAGCATCCTGGACATTGGAACAGTCCTTCGGCGGCACTCGATGACGTAGCATCCTTGAAATAGTGGCTCTGGAGCAGCCTTCCTCGACATTGAGAAACACCCGGTGAACATAGAAAACAATCTCAACAAACATACAGTTGAAACAAATCCATGCTTCCTGCTGGTCAACCTCATTAGCCTGTGCCCTTGGCAAGAGGCAAAGCGTTGACAATTGAAAACACTTCAATCCTTGTTATCTTAACAAACACACATCCTGTACACAACAGTTATCTTGTTGGTGATACACAGTAAATGAGCGCCTTTGTCACAATCAACAGCTGCCCTTGAATGCGCCATTAGGGTATAATGACCGGCCAGCCCTTTGGTTCATTCTGCTGCCAGATAGAGCTGTGGTTTAGCAGCAGAAGCCAGTAGCCATCAGCAGCTGTCATTCATGTTCTATGTCTAACTCTTCTAAAGCAGTCTCTCAATTCACAGAAAGATACATAGCTGGGGGCAAAATGCTGCCTGTCTACCACCTCAAAGCAGCAGCTGCGACCAGTGGGACGGACTCATGATAGAGCGCTTTCACATCAACACTGTTACATTCATTTACTTCACAGAAATAAACTGGCTTAATGAGTGATAAATAAATATGAGTGAGAAGTGTGAGGGCGGTTTCAGGGCGATGTGTTACTCCTCGACTCGGATGACCTTTTTCTGTGCATGAGTGTTTGCACCGATTTGTACTGACACAATGCTCCCACCAGTCTGCAAACACCCACACAGTTGCATACACAAAATGCAATGATGTCGGTCTCCTCCGTGAGATCTATGGATAGACAAAAAAGCTTCCCAATGTTGCATTACACAGACTTTGGTTTAGACTAAAACACTCTTCAATAATGACAGCTTAAAAAAGGCAGATTTGATCTACTTGAAATGGCAATCACATAATGATAGTGACTATTACAAATGAAAAGATCAATTGAGCTAGCTATTCTTTTTGAAAGTGCATAAATTGAAGAAGAGTTTGTCATAGGAGATGATACCGCTAATGAGTATGCGAGCCTTGTGAATCACACATGTCATTTCAGGTGGTCAGTGTATAGTCCACTATGACATAAATGTGTATGTGTCTGGATTAAATGTTAGACAAACTTCAATGATGGTGTTTTGTCATCTGCAATGCCAGGAAACACTTGCAGCTATGAGTTTAGATACAGTAGCTGTCGGAGAGGTTTACAGTCAGTACTCTTTACTCTACATTAGAATGATGGCCAGATACAACAAGGCCTGCTTGAGAAACATGAGCCTGTTTGTTGTAATCTATATCAGAAGAACAGTATTTTCCTTCCTTCTTTGGCTGGAACCTAGATCTCCCAGCTGGGTCCTCCTTAGGAAAGGGTGCAGGTGGCAAGCCCTTTAGGTAGCCTGTTTTCCAGGCAGCCGGAAGACAACACCTGCTTCACTTTGAGACTCTCGGTCCCCTGGTAAACACACTTGGGAGCTTTCTCTGTATCTGCACAAGAGGGATTCGAGGCCAATTTGAAATGTGTGCCAAGCGGCCATAGAAGCAGTTTTTGCAAACAAAGATGCATATGCAGCAGTTCAAGTTTAATAGCGTAAAAAAAATACGAGCTTTTTAATATAGTATTTGTGACTTAATATGAAGTAGAGAAGCATTCAACAGAACATTGTTGATATTGCATCCCTGCTGAATGAAGGAGGAAGATCAAGAGGCCACGGGAACAACTGTGTATCTGTCTTTATGAAAGGTAATGTTTAGACTGCATGATAAGAGACGAGTGATTAGATCAATTACACTGAGTGAGAAGCCGCTAAACTACAATTACCTACCAGATAATTGGGTAATTTGAACTAAATAAATGAGATCTTCAGAGGCCCAGGGAGCGGGCGTGGCAGCTCTCCCAGGTACCAGACTGTGGTGATTGTGCCAGTGCGATCACGTCACTGACAAACCCGAGCTTAATGCCAGAAGAATCCACGGGGGAGGTTTGGGCTGTTCAAGGTATCAACAGGTGATGAGGTCCATTTTGTGTTTCCCCTCTATTGGGATGATGAGTTTAAAAGCCAGAGTGAGTGAGGCAAAATCCAGAGAGGGGAGCATTTGTGTCTCATGAGTACGGCATAAGAGGATTTAAGAAGGCAATGCAGGGCACACATCATTTTCTATGCCACAACTCCCGAGTGAGTGTGTTCCCTGTGATGGCAGAAACATGTTGAAGTTGTGTTGTAGGCTGACTAGTATGGGACATAAGTAGTACAAAAGGAGTGGCTCTGTGAAAAGCACTGTATTTAAGGATGCAGTCACTGACACCACTTTATAATTAAAGTAGAAACTCATTTTACCCACTGGAGAACATCAGGAAAGAGACTTTGTAGCATTTGAGCAGCCGACAGGTGGCTCTAGCATATCTTGTGACAGAGCTCCTGAACAGTACATGATTTTTGAAACACTAATGTGTGTGCATTCACGTACACATAATCAAGTGTGCAGCTTACTGCATGAACACCACTGCAACAATATTCTGCATTGTTCTTAGTCAATTACTTTCAGTGCCTAAATGAAATAATTAGCTATGAAGGAAAGAGAGACAGTGAGAAGCCATTGTTCACTAAAGCATATAAGTAAGTAGTAAGTAAAGTACACTTAAATAAAAGCCTTATTAAAAATAAAATGTGTCTGGTTCGATGTGAGGTTTCTCCCTAAGGGTGACATCTGCTGACCAAAGCCCATTCCTGAACCACTTGTGCATAAATCTTAAAAAATACTAAAGTGATGGGTGGTAAAGTATTCTGATATTTTTAAACAGCAACCCCATCGGTTTCTTTAAGACTACACCACACACTGCTATAGGTCTGAGCATGCATAGAAGATACATGTCTGCAGGACTTGATCTAAGATAAGCTACACCAAAGTGTGGGGTATTAAAGACTTAAAGCAGGGTGTGAGCCTAAATATAGCCTGAGAACCAATTTGCTTAGGGCAGCGTGATTTTCCACACGTGATACCGGTGATACAGGCCGCTGTCCCTGGTCCTGAAATTGTACCGGGTCCATAAATGCATGTGCTCGATGTTCAGAGAGGAAGCCGGTTCAATGCGGGGAATACAGACATCTGTATATGCAGACTAAAGGTTAAATATGCATAAGCATGTGCATGAAACGTACAGTATAATGCGGGTTTGCAGGATGCAGATAGTTTGACTACACACCAACTGCAATTCCTCACAAGCAACAGTGCGAGGCGCATGTCTGATGCAGTTCAGGGAGAGAGAATGGGAGAGAGAAAGAGAGAAATAGAGTTTGATTGATCATGTGGGCTATGGGAGCCTGCGAGAGTTGTCGAAAATTGCTGCATAGACGCCCCTTAGGCACCTATCTGGTACCCACTGACTCGAAACAATACTGTTGCCATAATAACCACAATTCGCCAGAGTGCCCGTTACCAAAAGCCCTAAAAGCCAGGGAGCCGTTAACAGACCGTTCATTCCACCGGGTTGGACTTCACCGGTAATCCACAATACATTAACTTACCGCAGTCCTCACACAAGATCTTCCCAACATCCTTTTTTAGGCTCTTCACACTCGTGTCCCGAGGCGCAAACGATGCCTTGAAAACCAATGGCTCGTCAGTGGGGTCCATGAAAAAAATGTACTTGTGGTTCTTCTTCACTTTGGTGCACGGAGCCTCAGATCCAAATTCCCCCACGGTGACGAGCTGTTCTCGCTCCAGACCCCCGCTGTTAAGGGGCCAAACATCCAGCACTTTGACATTCACACGGTACCGCTCCGCGGAGACGTTCACAGGCGTAGACTGCACCTTGCCCTCGATCACCACGGCGGATTTGTAAACCTGGTCCTGCAGGGATTTCAAACTCGGGGAGTAGCAGGCGAATGAGACCCCGATGACCAGCATGGATAAATGTACTGAATCAAGCCTCATGCCGCCTGCTTTGGCTCGGTGGTCGCTGGTCGCGTTGCGGCAGGGCTCTCTGGACTGCGGGGCGATGAAGCTGGGTTGAATGAAGAGACAGCAAGTAGGCTCCAGTAGCACGGCAGCGCGGCAGACCTTGCATAAGTGTCCATGCCATCGGGATCCGCTGCTTTTCAAAGTGATTTTCAATGGGTAAACAGCAGCTTTGAAACGGGGGAACCGCGGGACGATGCTGGGTTTCAAATCCAGTCACAGCTTACTGCTAATAATAAGGCATTGTAGGTAGGCTAAGCGCGGAATCGGCGGATTCTCCCCTCCAGAAGATTCCCCCTATGCTGCAATAGTAGCCTTAACTGTAAGACGACGCCACTCTTATCTTTGCCCAAAAATTGCAGTGGTGGGGTACCGCTATGATGGTTTTCTGTATCATCTGCAGCGGAGGGAAAAGACGCAAAATGCTGCCGTGAACCACAAGTTTGGTAGTCCAGTCGCAAAACATAAGCCACGTTTCTTTCCAAAAAATAAAACAATATCTCTGGTCGGAAGCTATAACGCTAACACGGCGCCTTCCACCGTGGCTCTCTCTCCGCCTCCCCCACTAACCACAGACGGAGAGAAAATAATGCCGATTGCCAAGGGGCTCCGTCAACAAAAACGCAGGATTGGATCACTGATATACAGGCAACCGATGGACCAAGGGGTCGATCTCCTCTCTCCCAAAACCCAGTTACTGTATGTCAATCACTCCATGGTGTTTTATCAGCGGTGATCTCACGTTATAATGAAACAAACGGAATCCTAAATCCACGAATGTCCCTCCTCAGCATCGCATCTTACTGTAGCCAAGGCATTACTCCAAAAAACGAAATATGTTCACGGTGAAAGATGCAGCTGCATATATAGTCCGGTGGGCCTAAAAATCATATGGCTGCGATGACTAAGGCTGCGAAAGCATTTCAGATTCTTCAAGAGACTGTTTTGAATGAGTTTTGCGTCTCATCCCATTAAGTCATGCCCTGCATTCAGGTCACATTCGCTGCTCAGCCTCTGAAAAAACTGATGTTGAAGCACTGCATTAAATCCATACAGCTAAAACAGCAGCAAAATTGGGGTTGAAAGGAAAAAAAACACTTAAAAATAAAACATTTAAAAAGTGAGTTTCTCTGGGTTTTTGGTATTATATTCTGATTTTTTTAACACAATACATGCAGTTAAATACATGCTAACTAAAGAAAACAAAATTAATCAGAGAAATATTGACAGTGTGGATGATATAGCAATGTTAACGTCAATTTATGATTGTAATGTTTAGTTTACCCTAAATTGAATGCGGATACATAATGTTGCACTGACAGTATTCACAAAGAGCGACATCTGCTGTCCACACAGTATTTATGAGCTATTTGACACTTGATGTAAATGTTGCTGTAAATCAAACAGAAAAAACTACTAAATAATAAAAAGAAAGCACCCACATTTGAATTTGTTCATAAAACATATGCTCAGTATACAATTCACGTGGCCTAGTTTAGGAAAATACATGTTGCAATTAAAGACCCCTAAAACTCAAAGCAAATGAGACTCAGAACAACCAAATGTCTATTGTAAATGTATAAGACACAGCTACAACTATTATCTGTTTTCATCTGTGCGCATACCTACTGTAACAGACCTGGCTGCTCTCCGTGGTGCTGAAATCCTACAAAGCCTTTAAATGTAGACTATATATTAGACCTGTATGCTTATGTAAAACAAGGTATATTATTGTATTACTATGTGAACTGAATCCCTTTTTCCCGTAACAACGGCTGTGCTCATGTGCTTTTTTAAATAACATGGATGCAACAATAACTCCCTGACAAATCCAAGTGAGACACGTAACATATTATCAACCTGAAATTGTAAGAGGTGTTAACAGCAAAGCTTACTTTCTTTTTGAGACAGTGCCCTTTATAACAGTTGCAGAAACTGTTGCCTTACCTGTAACCACCAGAAGGCAAAGCTGCAACTCCTCAGTAGAACCAAGGGGGGGCGCTAGTCCTCGGAGTTCCCACAGTGCGTGTTGACATCAGAGGTGAAGCGTGCGGCGTTGAACTTGTGCGTGTGTTGCTTTCCGTGCCACGACTCGCCGTTCCTTGTCCATCTTGTGAAGCAAGCAGAATCAGTCGGTCGAGCTGTCATACAAAGGCCTGGCAGCCACATACATGTGTCTAACGCCTCGCTTGGTCTTCCGCAGCACGCCTTCGATGCTATAGGCGCTCCCCTCTGCAGACTGAGCGCTGTAAGGTAGGTTATGGGATCTTGCTAGGTTGCAATGACGCTATATGTACATGTCATCTGTATTGTTACCGCGTCCTGCAGCAGTTAAGTGTCCTAACGTGCAGCCAAGCATATGAAATCGCTCCAAAGAGTGTACAGAAGCAGAATATACAGCATATGGTCGTGCGTCGGACATAATAAGGGGGCTGCATTTGAAGCAGCGTCACTGCATTCCGGTGTTGGGATGCAGGGCAAAAACTTTGAGAGCAGACCACAAAGGCTGCCCTTTAATAAACTGCGACGACAGATTTGTTTTTCTTTTTTTTTTAAAAAGGTACAATATGTCTTAGACGTCATTCAAACAACTGATTCATATTCACGATTGAAAAAGATTCTGAAAATGGTGCATGTAGGCTCCATTCACGATAGATTAACTAGGCTACATTTGACAGGTTGTGTGTTGTGTGCAGTATCTAAACCACGGAACAGAGACAGGGCGAGGGTCCCTCTGCAGCCTAGGTAACCCAAGGAAATGAGGCAGACATATCCAAGGAAATTTTGGATTATAAAGTTGTGTCAAACTCTAAATGTGGATTTTTTTTTATGGGTAATTAGAGCCTAAAGACAATATTATACGCAAATACAGTCTGTATTATAACAAAACGAAGAGACCATCTCAGAGTTTAAGTATAGGAATAATTTGTGCATGCATCCAGGCTCGTGTTTATCGCACCTGGTTGAGAAAAACGTCAAACAAAAAAGGATCACGTCACACAAAAAGGCTAGCGTTGCTTCAACAATATAAATACATCAAAAACATTTAAAGCGTGGGTTAGGGATGTTGAGATGATGGTAAACCAGCAAACGGCTCACAAAGCCTCAGTAGGCCTATGGACATTACAATCCTACGAGGTACATGAATAGCCCTCTTTAATTACTTTAATATGATTGTATTAGATTGCGTAAATGTCGGTTGATGTGTCTTATACAGCTGAATAATAATGTACTCACTTATTTAACATTTCTACAAACATTATTTTTGAAAAACGAGAAGTGACAAATGCTGGGCGACGTTCGCAGGGCATATCTGAATAATGTCCACAACATGTAATTTGTAAACTGAAATCAAAGAGTTAAAGAAGAGGAATTCAGGTAAAGTAGCCCCCTATAGGCCGGCATGCATCCTCACATGAAGGATGAACCAAATAAGTACGAGTAAACCACTCACTTTCAATAAATTAACGTTATTTCTTATTCTTAGTTTTCAGCCCAATGGCTTTTCAATTATCAATAATAAATCCAAACAATGTAGTTCTCTAAAATGATAATACATGTTTAACTTTATTTTTTGTTTATTTTTTTCCATTGCTTTTGCCTTATGATTCCCAGCCAAAAATGGACATTAGTAGCCCATATTTGCCATGATAATCATAATTCATGTGAATGACTTTATATTCCATTGTATTAAAAGATATATATATATAATAGTATAAATAAATCTAATGAATGTAAAAAAAGTTTAAGGGTATCTTAGTTTGTGCGTCAGACTTCCTTTAGTTCCACTCAGGCCTGCAGGCACTTTATGAAGCTTACACTAAAGAAAAAGTCCACGTTTATTTATCATTAACAATTCTGTCATCGTGGGAAATGTGTATTATTATTTTATATATAAAATAACATACGCTGTTGAGACATCAAAACACCTAAAAAAGGCTAATCAAAGATCAAATTCCAGAAACGGACCATCTATCATTAGGCGATAACAATATACTTGTTTTAAGCCAAATCAAATGTTAAAATTATGAATGCTTTCACTTTCATACGAATAAATGTGGCGTGCATACCAAATATTCTCTGAAAGAGTTCTTATTCAGCGTTTTATGTAAAGGATGGTCAGCTGTTCCCAGGGGCGGACTGGGACTAAAAATCAGCCCGGGACTCTCGACCGGCCCACTTCGGTACCGCCGGCCCACCTCGGTACCGCTAGTAATTTGTCGGGGGGGGGGGGGGGGGGGTGCTAGTGACTTATCCGACCGGCCCACCTCGGTGCCGATTCGTCCCGATGGCCAGTCCGCCACTGGCTGTTCCCCATAGTGGCTAAATATCCACTTAGTGCTCATGAATGCGTAAACATCTGCTTCTATTAAATATTTTTCATTTGACCGTATTGACTGGAATTATTAACACGTAGCACTAGCAAGTAATGGCAAAGTTATTTGAGAGAAATATTAACATACATTTCCATATCATTCATCCACAGCAGCAGCAAATTGGCACCATCGAAATAACGCCAAAGAGGCAAAGAAGCTTTAAGTGAAATGTTTGCGCTATCAAATGTGTTTACAGGTGGACCAGAAGGAAGAACATTACAGTGGAGAAAGTTTCGTCAGCATGGGAACAGTATTTTAACAACTGACCAAAAACAGGTAGGCTACATTAAAAGTGTCGTGTTGTAGCCTAATAAAATGTGTTAAAATCCGTTGATTGTTTTTGTTTTTTGGAGTAGACAATACATGCATGCAAAACTAGAATAGTCAACTGTAATCACAATAACAACAAATTAATAACAGAAATGTACAGCTTTTTGCAATCACATTTGGAATGAATAACAATATGCATACATCATCCTATTTTGACAAGTCGTGTGTTTAGGGTCCTACAGTAGACTATAGGCCTAAACATAGCCACCAGTATTTTATATGCCGTATCCTAAAGCACAGTCAATTATGGGTTGCGGACACAATTTACACCAGCTGTCTTTAAATGCGATTGCAGCCTGCAGTCAGGTAGCCAATATGCAGCTTAACAATGAAGAAGAGGTGGGCCTAAACAGCAGCACAGCCACTCACTGCCACAAAACACTCAGACTGAGCACCTGGACGAGGACACATTCACATCAACCTAACGACGGTAAGCTATGGACTGGCGTCATAAATTAGATGACTTAAAAAAAAATGATTTACCTTGATGGTCTCTCCAATGCCAAATATACACCTGTAAGTAATCCTTTTATTCCATGTGTGCTTCTCGTGAGCGCGTTTGTGGCAGTCAGGGACAGCGTGCTGGTCGTTTAGGCCCAGGTAGTTACAATGTGGCGAATCTGTGAGTCTGAACAAAAGGCCTAATAAGCAAACGGAAAGAGTTGTTTGTTTTTATTAATTTATTTTCGTGAATATTTGGATTCTCATATGAATTCAGTCTGCAGTAGTTGCTGAAGGTAGGCCCACCAGTTTAACTCGTCTGATTTCAAACCCTAAAGGTTGATTAAAAATCGATTTGAATTTTGACTCGTGTTAAAAAAAAATCACATTTACATAATGACACCGAATGACACCAACTAGTCTGGCCTACTATGGTGAGGTGGCTCTGAATCCTTGCATTCCTAAAACTACAAACATTTGAGTTGAGGGATTTTCCCTTCATCTCATTGCCTTGCTAGAAAAGTAAATGTTGAATTAAATATGAGAGAACGAATTTAATGTGTTTTGAAAACAAATATAGTGATGTTGTTTAATTCACAGGTGTAGTATCAAGTTTAAAAGTAGCCTAATTTACATGCAATGCAGATGTCATCTGCCATAGGCTATTTAGTATGCCTAGGCCTAGCCTTCAATGTCGTTAAAAAATATAATAAAAAAACCGGTGATAGTGACTAGCTTAGGGAACGAAAGTCTAACAATTTGGCTTAAGGGACTTGTTTGTCATGACAGAAGTTTCCCAT